ATTTTTCTGATAATCTATCTTCTTAGTTTCTTGACCTCTGCTTGTCCAAAGACCTTGTCTTCTTCCCTACCTCAGCCACCTACCTTTGTGGTCATACTGTAGAATTTGTCATAACCACTATTTAAAGGTCACAGAACAATCACGTTTTCCCCCATGGAATATAAGGTCACTTTTGCACAGTTTCACACTACTGTGCCTAGTGAGGGATGCCTGTATGTCTCTGTCTCCTTGAATCTTGCAGTAAGGCAAAAACAATCCCAATGATTTTACGTAGGAGGGTTTTCCATCCATCTTTTGCTTTAACTTCGTCAGGTTGAAACTAACTGAGATTCCGGTTTTTATGAAATTACTTAGAGTTTTTGTATATCGTCCTACAAAGCTGTAATAGAATTAAAGCTTTTCTTGTTTGTTCTGTTTGCCCCGTCTGTCCTACTGTCATTTTTTTCCATTTTTAATAAAAGAAGCTTAGTCTAGTAAGGGAGAGTGGCCTTGAACCCATGTTAGTCGTAGACCTGCCTCCTGTCTTTTTCCTTTCCTCCTCATTTTTTATCCATAGTCTTCATAGACATGTATAGAATCCAAATGACTTAAGGGACAAAAAGAAAAAGTAAAAAAAAAAAATTCCTATTGCAGTATATTAACATATCACCTTTATTTTTCTCACTTGTTTTTCCATCATGAAGTCTAAAACAATGCTAGATAAAGAGTTTCTGGTGTTGGTATGGGTACTAACTTGGTGTTAAAAGCTATTTAAAATTCTGTTTTGAGTAAAATCTCAGTAGATATTATGGAAGGCTGAATTTTTTCTTTGTATTTACAGTGGTAATTGTAATAATTTTTAATTGGCACTGCTCTGTAGTGTGTGATGCATGCCCACCCTGAGTTTTTTCATTTCAGCTTTACATTAACATAGTAAGCAGGTAGTATTTGTATTCAGAAATGCAGTGAGACTTTGAAGTATGTGACTTGTCTGGGATCACACAGGGAATGGGAACGTGCCCTACCCGTAGTCCAGGGAGGCGACCAGGGTGTAACGCGTGTAAAAGACCATGCAGCTTTGGAGTCATAGACACGGGCTTGAATCCAGTGTTAAAACTTAATAGGTGTGTGGTTTGGGCAAATCACTTCTACTTTTTGAATACCAGTTTTATTATTAGGTTAGTAGAAGGTGCCTTTGAAATATAAATGTAACAATATAGTAATGTCTGACTTAAAGTTTCAATAACCAGAGACATGGAAACATGGGACAGACTCACAGCTGCCAGAGGGGAGGGGTCAGGGTGAAATGGTGGGAAGAAAGGGAAGGGACTAGTCAAAGAACTTGTATCAACGGCCCGCGGATACAGACAACAGTGTGCAGATGGGCTGCGGGGGCGGGGGCGGGGGGCAGGGGGGTGGGGGGGTGGGGGCGGGGCAGAGGACGGCGAAAGGGGACAACTTGGAACAGTTGTAATAGAATAAACGAGAATAAATAAAATAAAGATGTTCAATAAATAGTAACTGGTGTAATTAATATGATAATATTACCTCATTCCCAGAGGTTTCACTTCACATTCGGGGCAGGTCATCTATTTACTGCAACATGTGATAAATGATGTTGGGTGTGTCTTGCTCTGCTTTGTTAATGCTCTGCACTTACAGCGCTCAGAGAACTTACCACATCAGGTCGTAATTGCTTGTTTACTTATTTTCCTCCCCTACTGGCATGTGAGCTCCTTGAGAAAATAGGTGTGAAAGCAATTTGCTTTCTACATTATTTATAGAGTTAATAAGAGAAGGTTGAATGCTTTGAACTCCCCAGTGAAACACTTAATACGTGCCTTAGGTGTTTGTGGTAATAATAATATCTATCTAATTACTGACACATTATTCCTAATAGACCTTGCTTGTCCCCATAGGAAACCTGATGTGCTGTAATGAAGTATAATTTTGGAAATGACTAATGCAGCTTGATATTGATAGAAAAAAAGTTGTGCAAATTTAGTGCTGGAAGAACCCGTAGGGTGTACTGGTTACACCCCTCCCACTTTCAGAAGAAGGAAGTAGAGGCCTAAGGGGGTTAGGTGCTTTCTCTAAGGTCACACTGCTAGTTGGTGGCAGGATTTTTTATTTATAACCCACAAAAAGAACAGTGCATCAAAGATTATCAAAATAAGGTAATATACGTTGCCATTTAAGGAAAACCTAAACTTCCTAGTGGCCTTTTGCAGTTAAGCTTAACATAGGAATATTGCACTAAGGAAATATAAAATTGTCCCATTTACCTGGAAGTGCTAGGCAAACAAAATAGTATAAGAGTTTAAATGTTCAAAAAGAGCAAAAAGAAAGGTAGGGAGGGTGCATACTAAACTGTTAGCATTGGTTTCTAAGGAGGCTGAGCTAGAGAAGGGAGAATTAATTTTTTGCTATATGCTTTGACATTCATTAACTTTTTACAATGAGTATATAATAGTTTTATAACTTAAAAACCCTATAATATAGGGAATTATTCTTTTGTTTATCCTCACACAAGGACATGCTTATTTTAGAGAGAGGGGAAGGAGAAGAGGGAGGGAAGAGAAGCATCAATGTGAGAGAGAAACGTTGACTGCTTTTTGTACATGCCCCAACCAGGGACTGAACTTACAGCCTGGGCGTGTGCCCTCACTGGGGACCAGACCCGCAACCTTTTGAGGCTCCAACCAAGCTACACTGGCCAGGGTTGGGGAGTTATTCTTTAAAAAAAAAAAATCCATGATTGATGAAATCTGAAGCAGAATATAAAGTAGTTTCTTCTTATCCACAGTTTCACTTTCCACAGTGTCAGTTACCCATGGTCCACCATGGTCCAAAAGATATTAAATGGAAAATTCTAGAAATAAACAATTTATAAGTTTTAAGTTGCATACTGTTTTTCATAATGTGACAAAATCAGGCCATATATACTCCCTGTCTGTTAGCGACTAAGTTGCTGCCTTGGTTTTCAGACCTACTGTTGAGGTAGCACAAGGCTGATGCTCAAGTTACCGTATTTTATTTCATAATGACCCCCAAATGCAAGAGTAGTGATGCTGGCATTTCAGACACGCCAAAGAGAAGCTGTAAGGTGCAGCCTTTAAGTGAACAGTTATGCATGTACAGGATAAACTTGGGGTTTGGAACTGCCTGTGGTTTCAGGCATCCGCTGAGGGCCTTGCAGTGAATCCCCAGAAGATAAGGGGGGCTGTGATATAGGGAGTGTCAGACAGATCTTCTGTCTTCATTGACCTGGCTTGTTAGTTGGGGGACCAAGTTTTATATTTGAAAAGAATAAACTCTTTTATTCTTATCAAGAATATAAGGCAACAGTAGGAGAAATAGTACAATTTTAGACTAACATTTAATTTATACAGTATTTATTATAGGAGTTAATAGAAGAGCTCAAATAGTATATGGTAATCATATTACAATTATGACTATTAGAGTATGATTATTTCTGTTGCAGTAGCTTATATTTTGTTCAATGATACAATAATATGCTTGGAAAGTTATCCTCAGAGCTTATTAACATCATCTTTGTATGTACTTAATTGTTTTTGAAGGCCGAAAGGGAGTCTTGAGCAAAGTATCCCAAAGTACTCACAGGAAGTATGTACTGTTTTACCACTTACTGAGCTCATATTTGGATAGGATCAATCACTTACCTGGTCATGCGGGGGAAAAGGCCAATGCCACTAGAAAAGTAAACCTTAGGTAAACAGCAAGGATCAGATTAAATATTGACTGCTCAACTACCACTGTTTTGAAATTTAAAATATATTTAATTGACCTACATTCTCCACTGCTTGTATAAAATGCTCCATAGCATAGATTTAAATTTTGGAAAGCTGCAATAAAAACACTTCAGGAAGCCCTGACCGGTGTGGCTCGCTCAGGCGGTTGGGTGTCGTCCTGCAAGGTGAAAGCTTGCTGGTTCAGCTCCTGGTCAGGGCAACGTGCCTGGGTTGCGGGTTTGGCCCCCAGTTTGGGTCCCCGGTGTGGGCATGTACAGGAGGCAACCGACTGATGTTTTTCTCTCACATCAATGTTTCTATCCCGCTCTTTCTCTCTTCTTTCCCCTTTCTCTAATAAACAAATAACTAACTATTAAAAAAAACCTCTCTGGGAAGGGTGGGTATGCGTTGTTAGCAGGGAGACACTGCGCAGACCACGTGGCCTCTGAAGCTATAGGGCCCGTGGAAGAGCATGTGAAGTGGGGTGAATGGTTCAGCTTCTCTGGGCTTTACTTTGCTTCCCTATAAAGCAGAATTAACAATAATATCCTAACAAATAAAAAATATTAGATTTAACTGGAATTTGTATCTTATGAAAATCCTTTACTAATAAAGGGGTAGTGTTAATGGGATTTCTAACACTTCCCTAGCATCAGTAAGCACAGAATAAAGTAAGTGGTTAATAATAGTACATTGGATAATATTTTCACTAATAGTATGTTTAGTAATGTTTCATACAACTTCTTTTCTTTCCAAACTGAGGACATAGTTTTAATAAGCTGCTCAGTGAACATGACTGTCGAGGGCTGAGGTAATTGTTTCTGTTAATATGGCTCGATGCAAAGGGAGAGTGCCATGTCTTACTATTTTTTAAATCTCAATTTTAATTTAACTCGGTTAGATGACCTTGACCTATATATTTGGAATAACTAAGGCAAATAAGATCTCATTTCTACCCAGAAACAAATTTGTTTCTCACTACTGTATTCTGTCTCAATCAACAATTTTGTGGCCATTTTTATCCCAGTTTTGGATCATTGGTAATCTTTTACATGCAGAAATAAAGATCTGGGAATTTAGATAACTTATTTCTATGTGACTTTTGTTATTTATCTCAGTGGATTCTTATGTATGCTATTTCTCTAAAAAAGAAAGCTATTTGTAAGTACAGAGCTCAGATTGTATAGTTATTATAAAATGGCTTTTTGCTCACTAGGCTTCAATTATTCTTGATACCTTATTTCTCCTTTTTTCCCCCAATATTTTCAGATGTTTTGGAATGTTATTAAGCCCAGGTCGAAACGTGAAGAACAGTGACATGCATTTACTGGATATGGTAATGATAGCCTTACACACCTTAATTAACCAAGTAGAAATATGATAGTTATTTTATATTTTAATGTATTTTCTATTTCAAACTTGTCATATTGGGAAAATTGTTTCTAACTTTCAGCTGTATGATAGTAATAATGAAATTTGAAAACCTAAACTTAAAATTAGTTATGAGGGAGAGATTTGGGAAAATTCCAACCAAAAAATTATATGCAACTTGAAAACCAATAAAAGGACAGTGTTATGACAATGTCCATCCATTCATCTGTTTGGCTTCATAGGAGGCTGTCCTCTCTTTGAGCCCAAAATAGCAAGTACATGATTATAACAGGCATATCCAGAGTGAATATGGTGCCTTTTATTTATTTTAATGCATTGTTATTAACTTGAGTATTGTGATGGATGCTTTTATTTTCTTAAAAATTTCTCTAAATTTCTCCTCCTTGATTATCTGTCCTTACCAAAATGTATTCACTGCGTTTATTTCAGGAATGCCCCTAAAGGTCAATTTATATTTAAAAATTGGTATTTGATGTAAAAATAGCAAGCCATCTTAACTTTTAAACAGAAATATCTTCTACTATTGCAGTTAATGAAAACATTTACTGTGCGATATAGAAATGTTATAGGAAATGGTCATCTCAGAGTAAGCATAAAATTTTTGTACTGACTTCACTGTGATTTTTATATTTAGTGATAACAAATACTACATGGTTTTTTTTCCCTTTCAGCTGTGTTTTCCAAATGTCAGGAAAATGTCACCAATTATGTCAACATTTTCTTATTTCATGGTGACAGCCCATTGATTTTTCTAGTGGTTCTGGAATGGTTTGGTCAGCATTTTTGAGCTCCCAAGTGTGTGCCAAGCATTGTGTGAAGTGCTGGGGTTGTAGAATAAGGTGGAACACAGTGTTATGATGGAAACAGACCTTGTAAGTCTGTAACTGCAGCAGTGGGTTAAGTGCTCTCACTGAGTTGGTCCAGTGAGCCATAGAAACACAGAGCGAGTACCGCATGGATAGGTCAGGGAAGGACAGGCAGGTACACTGCCTGTGAAAACAAATTAGCTATTGATCCATCCGTCCTCCATTCCTCTTACAACACAGTGGTCATGCAAATGCTTTTGCCTAAAGCAATCCAGAAAATGCTGGAGCCCTGAAAATTCCTTGAGGACGTAGTTCAGAGAGATTAAACCCTTCGAAGCTCCTAGGTCTTAACTAGTCATGGTCTTTCTGAGTTTAAGAGATTAAGATGAATCACTGGCAGAGATTTTTCCGTGAACTTAAATTCAGATTATAGAATCACAGGCCTGCTGTGAACTTCTGAGGCCCCGTGCAGTCTCCACTGTTAAGAGTCTATGTTGAAATCCAGGCACTCGTCAGCGGGGAAGCCCTGAAGGAGACGTGGGCTGACCTGTGGGGCAAACAGGTGGCAGGCGGGGGTCAGCGGTCGCAGTTACCTGCAGCTGCAAGTTGTTGCTGCCCAGTGCTCTTCACCTTCACTCTGTCTTCATACATGCTCACCGAGCTTTGGCTCTTAAAAAGCTATTTCTCTGTAAACACCCACTATCATATTCCTCGTAACTTGGCCTTGTTTGTGTTATTTCTGCCCCCGAGAGCAAGACGCTAATAATTCTGTCTTTTATGATATGTCCAAATATGTGAACACTTCTGGAAACAAGTTTCACCTTCTTACACTTTATTCTGACAAACTTTGGAAGCTTTGAGAAGTCTCTCCCAGCCTCTTTCTTCCCTTTTCTCTGCCCTCTGTCCTCCCCTTTTCCCTCCTTGCTTTTCTCCCTCCTCGTCTTTCCTCTGCCTCTTTCTCTGCTTCTTTCTCCCTTCCTGCCTCCCAGAATTGTCTTTGTTTTTTGACTGCATTACTGGTTATTTTAAAGGATTTAAAAAATTGTTTTCTCCATTTCTGTCTTAGCATTTAGCAGTTTCCTCCTACTATGCTGTTCTTTAACTATTTTACCCCACCATACGGTTTTTGTTATTGCATATCTAACGTCATTTTATTTATTTTTAAATTTTTATTGAATTTACTGGGGTGACATTGGTCCATAAAATTGTATAGGCTTCAGGTGTTCCATCCTATAACCCATCATCCGTATGTTGTATTGTGTGTTCACCACCCCAAGCCACGTCTCCTTCCATTTTCTAACTTCACCGTATATGTAGCCTGTCATCACCTGGCTTCTTACCATGCCTTTCAGCTCTACATTTAAGTGCCCACTTTCCTTGGTATTTATAAATTGAAAGGAAAAATTAAATTGGTCTAGCTCATTTTTTTGGACTCAGGCATAACACATTTCTTGTCCACAGATGGATTGTGTTTTTTTGGTGGGGGGAGATTAGGTCCCTATCCTTGTTCAGAATGAGGATCCCATTAGAGGGTGGAAATAGAGAATAAGGGAGAGATTGGGGTGGGAGGGAAAGAAGGAGAGAGAGAGAAAACATATGAATATGTGAGTATAGGAGGTACTCAATGAGTTTCCTTTATATGACCTTGAGTGTATTTCATTGAATGTGGTCCTTGCATTCAAGCTATGCAATCTGATTAGTGAAATTGTACCAGTAGGCTAGAAAAATATGCATAGCAGTTACCAAATGACTGAATTGATTTTATAGGGATTCAGAGAAGCATTGGTGTGGAGGTAATATTGAAAAAAACCTTTTTCTTTTAATCTGACCCTTTGAACCCTCTCTATTCATAATAGAAAATTGGTACAGGAAGTTGGAAGTACTGTAGATAATGTTCTTTTTTGCATAAGCACATGTTTATATTCTGTGTGCTCTTCTCCATGGGATAACCTTTTACCTCCCCACGCCCAACATGCACACATAACTATATATGTGGTCTAGCTCTCAGTTGTAGGGAGTTGCTGGTTTCTGTAGTGAGAGTCAGGAGCTGGCTGGGTAGAAGTCTTAAAAGAGTGGAGGAAATGAAGAAGAGGAGAAGAGAGAAGGGAAGAAGGAAGGAATGAGTCTAAGGGTGGAGGGAGATTCTGGGTGATACACTACAACACAAGTATCACCCAGAATTGTCAGAAAGTTGAGCTGTGTGTGGAAGTCCAACAATCAAGGATTTAAAGAAGCCGCTTCCATGATGATTACAAACCAATATTAGTCTCCTAATGTTGATTTGTGATTGTAAGAAAGTGTATGGTTACCTGACACATATATAGTAGGAAAGCATTTACTGTGAAGGTCTTATGACAAAGTAAATTAATATTTTAAGAATATATTGAAAATTAGAGTATTAAAGGAAAATACTATTTTAGCTTGTGATTAGCTATTCAATTTAACTGTCATCAGTGAGATCTATACTATACTATATACTATATAGTATATACTGTACTATACTATAGTTTTCAAGGAAACTATGTACATACTTGTATGTGTAAGATTTTTGACACCCAGCTTAAAATCAAGTTAAGTGTAACTTCATAGCAATATTATGTTTTTGTGATCAGCGTGGAAGAATATACCTCATTTGACCAACAGATACGTGTCTCTAAACAGAAACTCTGAAGAAAGCTCTAGGGGAATTTAATATTTAAAGAAATGTTTTTGTAGGGTGAAAAAAATTTACAAAGAAAATAAGCCCCCCTTTCAAGTATAAATCCAAACGTTAGTAAGTTGAATGGTTTAAGGTGAGATAACTGCGTTGTTTGGGACGGTGATTCTCTTGCTGTCTGTGTCCTCGAACTCTCACAGGAGTCCATGGGGAAGAGCGGTGACGGGAGAGCCTATGTCATCACTGGCATGTGGAACCCCAATGCGCCCATATTTCTGGCACTTAATGAAGAAACCCCAAAAGGTGACTTTTCTTTAAGAGATTCCTTATTATGTTCTTAAAATTTTACATTATGGACAGTGTTGTTTTGCCACATTTAAAACGAAATCTGGTCATTTAAAATAGATTTTACTATGAAATTGAGCCTCGTCTTGACATACGTGTTGTTAAGGACAATAAACATTTCTGATAGAGTTTTCTTACTATTCATTTTGAATTTCTACATCCAATGCTATTTCTTTAGCACAAGGATCATGGTCTGTTGCAGGGAAAATAATATTCTAAGTTAATGTGTATAATGCATTAAAATATGCTAAATCTTATGTGGTTTTACATGATTACTACGTATATAGTTGACACTGAAAACTGAAAACTGTCCCACCGAGGCACAATAGAAAGGAGTACACAGATTCAGTATGAATAACACTCTCTTTAGAGAGGACTTCCAGTCAAGATGGAAGTGTAGGTAAACGTGCCTCGCCTCTGTGCACAACCGTAGCGAAAAGTACAGCTACACTACAAAACAAGTATCACCCAGAATTGTCAGAAAGTTGAGCTGTGTGTGGAAGTCCAACAACCAAGGATTTAAAGAAGCCGCATTCATCCAGATGGGTCGGAGGGTGGAGACGCAGAGTGGTGCTGAGAGGCATGGAGGCAGGAAGGGACAGTCCACATCCACGTGTAGTGCATAAAAAAATGGGAGGAATACCTCGGGAGTGAGGGATCCCAGCCCCAGTCCAGACCGTCCGGCCCATGGTCCCAGCGCCAACAAGATAAGTCCCCATAAATTCTGGCTGTGAAAAACCAGTCGGGGTTGGGGTGGTTGAAGAAGCTGCATCCTCTTGAAGGGCTGCAACAGACTTAGAACTCACGCAGACCCACCGCCTCTGGGATTCAGCACTAGGGCAACAGCTGGAAGGGCACCAGCGGCCTACGGGGGGAAAGTGGAAGTGCGAGTGGGGAGACAGTGTCTTCCTGGGGAAAACTCCGGGGGCCAGACAGTGGCGTTGTCTCCTCCATGAGCCCTCCCCCACACACAGCAACAGAGCTCTGACATGGGTTGTCCCGCCCTGGCGGTTACCTAAGGCTCTGCCCCATACAATGTAATAGGTGCGCCAAGACAGGGAGTCAAAGCAGCTCTACGTAATACATAGAAACTGACACACAGAGGCTGCCAAAATGGGGAGATAAGGAAACATGGCCCAAATGAAAGAACAGAACAAAGCTCCAGAAAAAGGACTAAGTGAAATGGAGATAAGTAACCTGTCAGGTGCACAGTTCAAAACTCTGGTTATCAGGATGTCCTAGGAACTCATTGGGTACAGCAATGCCATAAAAAAGACCCAGGCAGAAATGAAGGTTGCATTAAGTGATATAAAGGAAAATATACAGGGAACCGACAGTGAAGAGGATGGAGCCGAGAATCAAACCAACGATTTGGAGCGCCAGGAAGGAAAAAGCATTCAATCAGAACAGCAGGAAGAAAAAAGAATTCAAAACAACGAGGAGAGGCTTAGGAACCTCTTGGGCATCATTAAACATACTAACATCCGAATCTCAGGTGACAGAAGGAGAAGAGGAAGAAAAAAATTGAAAACTTACTTGAAAAAATAAAGAAAACTTGCCTAATTTTGTGAAGGAAGTAGACATGCAAGTCCAGGAAGCACAGAAGGTCCTGAACAAGATGGACCCAAAGAGGACCATACCAAGGCACATAATAATTAAAATGCCAAAGGTGAAAGATAAAGACAATCTTAAAAGCAGCAAGAGAAAAGCAGGGAGTTACCTACAAAGGAGTTCCCATAAGACTATCAGCTGATTTCTCAAATTTTGCAGGCTAGAAGGGACTGGCAAGAAGTATTCAAAGTGATGAAAAGCAAGGACCTACAACCTAGATTACTTTATCCAGCAAAACTATCATTCAGAATTGAAGGGCAGATAAAGCGCTTCCCAGATAAGATAAAAATAAAGGAGTTCATCATCACCAAGCCATTATTATATGAAATGCTAAAGGGAATTATATAAGTAAAAGAAGATCAAAATGATGAACATTAAAATAGCAGTAAATTCACTATTACCACTAATTGAATCCAAATAACAAACTAAGCAAACAAACAGAACAGGAACAGAATCACAGATATGCAGATCTTTTGGAGGGTTATCAGTTGGGAGTGGCAAGGGGGAAAATTGGGGAAAAGGTTCAGGGATTAAGAAGCACAAATTGGTAGGCACAAAAGAGGGGAGTGTTAAAAACAGTATAGGTAATGGAGTGGCCAAATAACTTGCATGCATGACCCATGGGCATGAACTAAGGGGGGGATTGCTGGAGGGAATGGGGGTACCAGGTGGAGGGGGCAAAGAGGAAAAAGGAGAACTGTAATAGCATAATCAATAAAATATATTTTTTAAAAAAACACTCTCTTTAGCCAGAAAGGTAAAAGAAATGCAGAACATAATGTTTACTGACATTGGCTTTGGAATTTGAATTTTAAGATTGTTATTTATCTAAAATTGGGTTGGCCAAAAAGCTTGTTTGGTTTTTTTCCATTAGATGGCTCTAGTAGAGCTTAGTTGTCTTTAACTTCATTTGAAACAATTTTGTTAGATTGTATTGTGACAATTGTCATAGCAGTGTACATTTAAAAAAAACATCAAAATTGGTGAATTTTTTTCTGTAAGATGGCTCTAGTAGTGCTTAGTTGCTAGATTGTATTGTGACAGCTGTCATACCAGTGTGCATTTAAGAAAAGCATCAAAATTGGTGAATTTATCTGTAGCCATTTTAATATTTAAGATGGAAGAAAATATACAATGTTTTTGGCATATTATGCTTTATTTTTTCAAGAACGGTAAAAACCCAACAAAATGAAAAAAAAAAAAGATTTGTGCAGTGTGTGGAGAAGGTGCTGTGACTCATTGATCATGCTAAAAGGGGCTTATGAAGTTTCATGCTGGAGATTTCTCGCTGGACGATGCTCCATTTTTGGGTAGACCAGCTGAAGTTGATAATGATCAAATTGAGACATCAACTGAGAACAGTCAGTGTTATACCACGTGGGAGATAGCCAGCATACTCAAAATATCCAAATCAATAAAATTAGTGGTGAAAATGAAAAATGTGCCTTTTATTTTATGGAAAAAAACAAAAAAACTCAATGGACTTTTTAGCCAACCCAATACTATTTAGAGTGGTGCTCTAAAGTTTGTGAGAAGTCTATTTGTATCTCCTTTAATTCCCTCAAATTTTCTTTGTTAAAAAATATTTATTTTTCAGTTACAGTTGACATACAATGTTATTAGGAATTATTCTTTAGTTTTTGAAGTTCCTTTTCCCACTTCATGAATCTTTTGGGAAAAACCTCCATTATTTGAAAGAATCTCCCCAAAGATATGTGAATTAATTTATAAGATTATGCAGAAAGTATTTGTGCTTTGTGTTTCATACGTCATTACAGAGTTGTATTTTTTGGGTGGAAATGATGGAAGACTATGAAAGAAATGCTGAAAGCAAGTGCTGCAGTTGTACATATTTTTGATAAGTATTTAACCTATCAAAAATTATATTATAGCTTGTTTACTTTTTTCATTCATTACTTTTTTGGATCCAGTCTTTTGACCTTTGGGAGCTTAGATCTTAGTAATGTATATCAAGCATTTCACTTGTGACAAACCCCTTTTTCCTTGTTCTTTACCTTTTTGTTTTGTTTAACATGGCTAATGTTGAACAAGAATTTGTAAATGGCATATAGTCACATTTGTCATTTTTCCCATTGAGTTTCTTTTATTACTGCTTTTCCCAGATACTTGTTAATTGCCTGTGTTTTTGTTTTGCCCCTCCGTCTCTGCCTTCAAACGAACGTTAAAGTTTTACCTCATGGGTTATAATCTGACACTAAGTGCTTTACTGTCATTCAGCCAAAAATTTATATTGAGAAAATAATGGATTTTTAAAAAATATTAGACTTACATTATTTAGTTTATACCAACAGTGGACTTTCGGTTCAAGACAGGAGCATTAGTGAATACTGACATGGAAGTATAATGTATTAATGAATAACATAAAAATGATAGTAATTCTCAAATTTCTTTAAAGAGAGTCTTTTCCAGTCCTGTAAATTACATGCATTTGATTACAACTCACATACTTTCTCATACTAAGGGCTAAAAAGGCAGAAAACATGACAATTATATAAAAATTTAGCTTTTCATGTATTAGGAATAAACAATTTTTAAACCCCCAGTTTTTTACTTCCGGAGACAGGCTTATAAATACCAGCCTGTAAACTTTTTTATAACTGTTCAGAAGGAAAACACAAAAATGAGAAAAATAAGCCAGTTCATAATTTTAAAGAATAAAATATCAGAGTTTCAAAAGAAAAGTAAAGCAGTTTTTATCTAGTGAATGTTTCTTTTAATGAGTTATTTGATGTTTCCTCTGAGAACCAAAAGTGATAGGCACAATAAAGTAAAAAAAAATTTTTTTTAAGTAATGAAGAAATAACAATGGTATGGAATAACCAAGCCACATATTCAAAAACCCCAGTGAATCCGAAGCAGGGTGAATAAAATAAAATGAAATTCTGTTTCAACCTATCATTGTGAAACTGTGGAAAACCAGTAGCCATTGGCCTGGAAGATTCTAGATTCAAATGAAAGGAAGGCTGTGGCCAAGTACACATTTTAAATGATAAACTGAAATTTTGACTGGTAACACTACGCTGTTGTTCTCTAATGTGCTTGCCAGCACTCTGAGGTATACGGAAACTCACAGGACAACTTCACGAGAGCTTGGATCAGTGATTTTCCAGAGGGTAAATAAATACTATGGACAATGAGGGTACTGACAAATCTGGGGAGTCCCTTAAAGCATATAATGTTGAAATACTCATTTTAATAGCATCTCCCTATAAAAATTTAATACAGTGAAGGTAGAGCAGCTCTTCTGGTTTGACAGTCTCTCTCAAGCAGCTCAACAAACAAAAGTAATTTTTAGAATCTCTTTGTATGAGATGAAAGAGCAAACCTTTGTGATTTTTCTAGAGGTCTTTCTGGGCAATCTAAAAGATAGTTTTAGTGTAACAGATATCCTGAAAACTTTATTTTATTTATTTTTTTATATTAAAACCTAATTTGGGGAGGGAAAAATTTTAAGTTGTCAGAGGAGATTGGGACAGTTGATTAAAATAGGATCTTGTGTGCTGAGAGACATATTTGGAATACTTGGTTACTTACCTCAACAAACTGAAAATAAAATATTTAAAATTAAACATCAAAGGTAACATGAGTATAAAGAAGCTTAGTTCTTTCATAAGTGAGGAAACTGTTTGCTTAAATCATCAAGGAATACTAGTACCAGCGTAAAACCCAGAACGTTTCTGCTGCAGACAAGCGAGTGTACATGACCGTGGCGGTGGACATGGTCGTCACCGAGGTGGTGGAGCCTGTCCGCTTCCTGCTGGAGACGGTCGTTCGGGTGTACCCTGCAAATGAGCGCTTTTGGTACTTCAGCCGAAAGACTTTCACGGAGACTTTCTTCATGAGGCTGAAACAGGTAGGACCTCTTTGTTCTTTCAGTATAACAATGTACCTGTTTTTTCTATCATCCTTTTTAAATGCTATACTAGTTCCTTAAGAAGCAATAAAAAGCAATAATTTTTTTCTCTAATTAAGTGACATTTAGAGTCAGTCTATAAAGTATTTGAAAAATCCACATCTAGATAATGTAAGTTTAAAAAAAAAATAAGTGTAATCATGTACTTCTTCCCCCTAGAAGCCTGTAATGTGTACTTAAAGTATCAACATACTTAGCAGAAATATTGATTTTATACCTAAAATAACTTTTCTTTCTTTTATATATAATAATTAAAACGAAAAAAACAGGGCACAGATATACTATACCTTTACAAAGTTATAATGAAAAAATATTCAAGTACTACCTGATTGTCATAGTTATTTTTATTTATAATACTATATGAATACAGGGTGGAGCAAAAGTAGGTTTACAGTTATGAGTAAAGGAAACAGAGTTTATTCTTGTATTATTATTTATTTAATTATTGTATTATTTTCCATGTGAACAACTGTAAGCCTACTTTTGCCCCACCCCACATAGTATTTGACTTATCAGTAAGGTTGTAAAATTATTTTAATATTAAATGAACAAGATTAGGGGTTTCTATGACATTCCTAAATTAGGCAGGGTTAGTAGTTAAAACTTTTTGTTCTGTAGTGAAGGAAGAAGGTAACCATTACCAGTCATCTTTCCACTGGTATTTGTTGAGTGCCTACTATGTATCAGGCACTGTATTATTTCTGATTGAAATCAACATATTTCCTGCCCTTATGGCACTTGCTGTCTAGTTGACAAGAGAGCCATTTGACACATGAATATGATAATAAGCGTGTAATTACAATGTAGTGAGTGTAGTTAAGGAAGAACAGAATATGGTGAGAATTAAAACATGGGGAACGTAGGAACTTAGGTTAGATTCTTTGTGGCAGTGAAAGGATCCCATATTGATGGAGGTTAGCAAAGAGTAGGAGGAAGGGCTCTCTTCTCAGAGAGAAAAGGATGTCCCTACACCTTGAGCCGAGTGAGGGGGGGATTTAGAGGTTCCTAGAGCTGAAACCAGGCCAGAGTGGGAGGAGTGTAGTAATACACTTGGGTGTGAGTTGGGGATGGAGGCACTTTATCTAGGGCTTCGTAGGCATTGCTGGGTTAATGAATGGGCAGTTGCCTTAGTTTTTCCTGCTTAAAAAAGCCATTTAGAATGTAAACCCTTTGTATGGTAGAAATGGTCTACTTCCATGAATTAGGTGAAGATACAGCTGAATCCTCTTTCCCTCAGTGCGAGGCAGTCCTAAGCATCGAGCAGTGCTGGCTTACTGCCTGCCCTAGGATCGGTAGTGTTTCAGGTTTTTCTGATTAAAAAAAATGGAATTCTCTCCAAATGGTCAGTAGGTTTCACTTACTGGTTGATGCGATGCTAGAAGAACCATACATTTTAGAATATCATGTGAAGAAGAAAGCACTTCCAAAATTTTCTCACACACGATGTGCTGCTCTTCTGTCCAGCTCTTTCCAAAGGACCGTTGAAACATGATCCTTCAGGGCTTCCTTCACATTTCCAACACTGAAACACGTTTATGTCTTTCTCAGTCTGAGGGGAAAGGCCATGCCAGCGCTGGAGACGCAATCTACGAGGTGGTGAGCCTTCAGCGAGAGTCTGAGAAGGAGCAGCCTGTCACTCCTACTAGCGGAGGGGGCCCAGTGTCACCCCAGGAGGATGAAGCAGAAGAGGGTAAGAAGGGACACTCACTCAGTTCCCTGTCTGTATAGCTGCTTTCCTTAGAGCCCTCAAAGGGCGTGTGTGTGCCCACGCGTGTTTGTGTGGACGGGCATGTGTGAGGGGTGCGGGAGTGGTGGGGATTGTTCCTAGACTCTGCCACCCCCAGGCCAGACCCTGCGAGAGGCAGAGAGAGCTTGGCTCATGGAGTTTCCCGTTGTGTAGTCTCCAGTGCCACTTACGCAACTATTTAAATTTGACAGCCTCCCATTGCTGTTTCGCTTCCTATCTTATTTGAAGTAGTTTTGAAGTATTTAATGACAAGTTTCAAATTCTCTCAAGTGCTGTTAGACTTTCAGTGGAATGTTATGTCCTACTTCTCCTGTGACATTATTCACTTCTGGCTTTTTGCTGTTGCCTTATGTAACACTTGCCGCTCGCCTTTTTGGAACAGTGTGCGGTGCGCTCTGTCCGCTGCCTGCACACCGCTGAGAGGTGCTGACCGGCCCCTGGGAGCCGCCCTTCGTTTGGCTCTGTGCTCAGGGCTCTCTTTATAGAAACTGGAGCCCAGTGGCAGACCTTTACCCTGAGCCCTTACGTTACCTGCCGATAGAGTAGGGTTTATTAAAAATAAATTCCTGGATTTATATCATCTTTGAGAAAAGCACCTTAAAAGTCTCAATCTCTTCTCCATGAAACCATTTTTTCTTGAATTGCCATAAAATACTTATTTTTAGCTAGTATTTATTGTCTTTTTACATATCCATATATAGGCTAGACATTATTCTAGTGTTTCATTAAAAAAAAACTTTATGAAGATATAATTTAGGTAGTGTGGGATGCACATGTTTGAAGTGTGTAGTTTATTGAATTGTGACAAGTGCTGTGTAGCCACCAGCAGAATCACAATATAAAACATTTCCGTTGCACAAAAGCTTCTCTCACGCCCTTTAGAACCTGTCCTGCCCCGCACTTGTGGTTTCTGGCAACTGCTGATCTGGTTCCCGTTGCTGTGTTACCTTTTCTACATTTTCTGCGTTTTCTCTAGTACGCAATCTTTTGTATGTGGCATCTTCACTTAGCATAATACTTTTGAGATTTATCTATGTTGTATCAGTGCTGGTTCCTTTTTATTGCTGGGCAGTATCTATTGTAAAGATAGACCACGATTTGTTTGTCTCTCTAGTCACCAGTTAATGGACCTTTGAGTTGTTTCTAGCTATTTGCTATTAGGAATAAAGCTGCTATGAATATTTTAGTATAAGTCTTTGGTGAAAATATTGCTTTCATTTCTCTTGGGTAAAAACCTAGGAGTAGACTGGCTGGGTTTTGTAAGTGTATGCTTAACTTTATAAGCAAGCACTAAGCTGTATTTCAAAGTAGCTGTGCCGTTTTCCATCTTTATCAACCACATGAGTCAGTTCTGTACCTTGTCAGCTTTTGCTATTGTCGGTTTAAAAACTGTCATCCATTCTCGTGGGCACAACTAATGACGTACATCTTTTCATGTGATATTTGCCACTTGTATATCTTCTTGGGCAAGAGTCTGTTCAAACTCGTTACGTATTTTTAAATTGGGTGACTTGCATTTTTGTCGATTTTCCAGATTTCTTTATATGTATTGATAAAAGTCCTTTATTAGATATATTTTATAAATATCTTTTCCCTTTCTGTGGTTGGCCTTTTCTTTTTCTGAACAATATCTTTGGAAGAGCAAAAGTTTAATTTTTTGAAGTCCAATTTGTCAATATTTTCCATTATGGCTCCCTGTGATTTAAGTTTTTATGTATGGTTGGAAGAAGGTAGAGGTCAGTTGCTTTGTTTTTGGCTTAAAAAATAAAAGCATTTATTATCTCTTATGGTTTCTGTGGATTAGAAAATAGGAAGTGGCTTATCTGGGCAATTCTGGCTGAGTTTCTTATGAAGAGTCAAATATAGTCTAGGGTTGTAGTCACGTGCAGACTTCTTTGGGTGGGGCTGAAAGCTTGGAGAAACTTCCAGGGGCTCATTCACAGAGCTGTCAAAATGATGCTGGTGGTCGGCAGAGCACTTGGCTCCCCCTCCATGTAAGCCTCCCCATAGGGGCTGCTTGGGTGCCCTCACGGTGGCCCGCTTCTGCTGGACAGCCATCCAGGCCACCAGCCGAGGGGGAGGCCGCAGCGCTTTGACGGCCTAGCCTGGGAGTGGCACACACCACCTCGACGGTCCTTTGTCGGTCAGGGAGCTTAGCCCTTGCGTCCACGCTGTGGCTCTGCCGTATTCTGTTCAGGACTCCCAAGGTCAGTGTGACTGTCTCATCCCAGCCGACATGAAGAGGAAAAGGGATCGCACAGGGAAGGGTCTTGGGCCAGGCCGAAAGTTCTGTGCCCATTATTTTTTGCTAAACCACAACCACAGGGGTGACTGGGGAATGAAATTGAGCCATGTGCTCAGGAAGAAGAACAAACAGGCATGACAAGCATCTGCCAGCGAGTTATTTAAACATGAGATGTCAGGCAGTTTCTTGCAAAACTGCTGTTCCCTTTAGAAATGAAAAATACATGGAACTAGAATGGGAAAGAACAAAAGTAATAGGATGACAGGCACTTCTCAATAAGAATATGTTGCATAACTTAGTATCACAGAATTATACCTCTTATTCTAATTTAGCAAATAAAATTCCTCACTTCTACCCTATTAATTTAAAAGAAGGATAGCTATCTAACATGGATTAAGTGTCTGCTTTGTGGAATATAATGCATTAGATATTTAATAGATCTAATTTTATATTTTACTCACATTAGCTCTAAGCTATAACTATTATCATCTTTACATCTCATATGAGAAAATAGGTATACAAATTTTTAGTCAGTCATTTGAGGTCATTGGCCTAAAAAGTATAATATACAGAATCAACCTCACCATAAAACCCGTGGATTTTCATGACGCACTAAATCAGGGTATTTTCATTTAAATGACTGAATTGGTATAACTTCACTCCTAATTGTTTAAAAGGTAGTATTTTTAGTATTCCCTTTACAGACAACATATTCTCTTTTTTTAAAATTATATTATATTGATTATGCTATTACATTTGTCCCAATTTTTCCACCTCTGCCCCTCTCCCCCCAGAACCCCCCACTCCCTCAGGCAATCCCCACACCATTGTTCATGTCCATGGGTCATGTGTAGTTTTCTTGGCTACTCCATTTCCTATACTGTATCCCCATAGCTATTCTGTAACTGCCTGTTTGTACTTATTAATCCCCTCACCTGTTCACCCATTCCCCACACTTCTCTTACCTGGCAGCCGTCAAAACTCTCTGTATCCATGATTCTGTCTCTCTTCTTCCTGTTTGCTTAGTTTGTTTTTTATATTCAGTTGTTCAGAGTTATGTATTTATTGCCATTTTATTGTTCATAGTTTTGATCTTCTTCTTTTTCTTAAAAAAGTCCCATTTCACTCCTGATTGTTTAAAGGGTAGTATTTTTAGTATTCCCTTGACAGACAACATATTCTCAATCTTCATATTTTTGATCATGTTCTAAATCTGTCTAGAATTACAGACTTTGGGTAGAAGGATGGAGTATGAAAATATAACAAGAACAAAAAGCATTGTTATGTGTGGAAGCATTTTTGAAGAGTGATTCCAAGCATGCAATAAAGTAGTACATTCCAAAAGAACTTTAGATACAGAATTTAAAAATTATATCAGCCAGAAGCTACACATACTTCCTTAAGGGACAGGCTGTAGAAAAATCTATTAGAAATTGTAATATTCTCTTCAAAAGAAGTCTTTCGGACACACAAGCACACCTTTAGATTGGAAAGGTATTTTTGGATCCAGTGATAATTACTTCAGAGGTAATGAGATTTGAAAGTTGTGCAAATGTGTACATTATTGGAAGAGCCATTTACTTATGGAAAGCAGCCTTACTAGAAAACTGATAGATTTAGAAGTAAATGACAAACCAAACGCTCCCCGTTTTGACTCATTTTTAAGCAGCTGAATGTCCAGAAACATCCCCCTGCACCATCTAAAGTCTTTTAGGTGAGGGCGGGCAAGCTGCCATTTCTGTCATAACAGGGAGCTGAATTTGCGTCAGGCTTCATTTTTGAATGAAGGAATGAAGGGGAGAGTAGATGGATTTGAGAATATCAAGGCTTATAAATTAATTGGATGTCCCAGGCAGCAGAAGAGAAAGGAGGAGAAAGAACCAAAGGTTATATCCAGGCTTCTAGCTTAGGTGCCAGATCTCTCATTGATAGCCCATCAATGAGACAGGGAACACAGGAATAGGAAGAGTGGGTTTGGGGTTAGGGGTAAGATTCATTCAGTTTTAGATACTGATGAGTTTGGACTCACTTTAGAACATGAGTGGAATGATTTTTCAGTTATTAGAAATAACCTCAAACCGAGGGAAGTTTTATAGCTGAAGATAAAAGTTTGAGAGCCTGAAAAAATGAGAAGAGCTGAAATTTACTTGGGGGAAAATACGGGATATGTGGGTTGAAAGTATAATTTAGGAGATCACTAACATTTTAGGGGTAGATTCAGGAAGAGAAAGCCTAGTTTAAAAAATTGGCAAAGAAATGATCAGAACAATATGAGAACTAAGAGTGTAGTAATGGGCAAGGAATGGAAATTTGCAAGGAGGGCGTGAAAGGCGGTACTTCCCAATGAACTGTGGAGGTCCAACATGGTAAGGACCAAAAACTGCTCATTGGATTTTGTAAATTTGAGAGGTGACCGAAGCCCGATGAAGGTGATTTTAATAAAGCTAGGAATTGAGGAGTGACGAGAGATGAAGAAGGGGAGAAACTTCTTTTAAGGAAGTTGATGAGAAGAGGAAAGAGCTTGGACTAAACCCACTGGGTTACACCAGGGCTACGAAGGGCATTTTTAGGGTATGAGAGTCTTGCGCTTACCTGTAGCTGGAAGGGGAGAGCTCAGAATAGAGGGGGGCTGCCTGCCCGACACTTAGCCACCTGGCTGGTTCCCTGATGTGCTTCTGTGTCTTCCCAAGTGCTGTCC